AATAAATTTCCTTTTGTCTTCTCCAGTCATTCCTAGTTCATCCGCTCACTCCATCAACTCTTGTTTCGACATATCTATTATCCCGCTGGCCATGTTGTCTTCTATGTCTTCACTGTTCCCGGACGAGCCCCCAGATGTCACACGCAACGTAATATTACCGTAATTGGTATAGTACAGGTGTGATGGTTCAAATACCAAAATGGCAACAGTAACATAAAGACGTCCCTGGCGGCGATGATAACATACGAACACGGAGTCAACAGATGAGGTTTCAACTGGTAGTGGTATTATTATACTCTGCAAACATCAAGTACATTAACTCGGTGAAACTCCAAACCTCCAATAACTAGATACTTAAACTCTAACACAATTCAACGAGATCTCCGATCTGATCTCAGTGCTGAACAACTCCCCTATATATACTCACACTGTCTATAAATAGACCATTACATCAGCATACATAATGAGTCTGGAACTTACTACAAATTTCTAGAATGTTCCATTACCTATTCAACCAGTTTCTAAAAATTCCACCCAGACACAGTACGGTTCTAGAACATTCTCAGTCACACGGAAGTGGTAAACAAGTCGTATGCGACACTAGTATTAAATTGAAAAAAAAACACAAGGAATTTTGTTTTGCCATAACTTCTTTAATTCTCACAATAAACAATTTTAACTGGTATTAAATTGAAGCATTTTAATTTCCCTTTAAACTGTAATTTCATCTACTAAGTCTGATTTGATATGGTTGCTTGAATTTCATTTACTATCTCCGTGAAGGCGTTATTATATGCAGAATAAAATGCAGTCCCCAGCATTCTTTTTCTGTGCTGCAATGATGTTTCGTTCAGATATGTAAACAGCAAAGCATGAACGGTGGTACTTAACATCAAAGGCAAATAGGTCCTAGACTAAATAATTCATTATGTCTTGCAGAAGCAGCAGACAAAACTTTGTACTGTGTCTAGTACTCGTAGTTACTTGTCAGTCTCTCACCTTTCTTTGATATTTTGCTACAAATGAAACAGTCATGCCTGGTGTTAAATTTGTCATCTCTGGGCATACGTCCACCAATACCAGTATTTCCTGTAGACGTTGAAAGTTGAGGTGATTCTCAATAACATTTTAATGAATACGTTTTAAGTTGGTTTTACTGGTGTAAGATGACCGACATGACTTGAGATATGGAATGTTAATGTTATCACCTAAAATGTCATCTTTGTAAGGTTCTATCTTTTCATACACATCATCTTTACGAATTTCGGAGGCAGTAAATAATACTTTAAGACCATCTATGGTAGGATTCAGCAAATCTTTTGCTCTCCCAGAAAGACTTTTGTTGCACAGAATTCAGTTTTTTATTAGTTCATTTGATTGCCTGATAGAGAATACAGTGTATCATCCCTAAGAAGAAACAAATAATCTTATTATTGACATAGTTGAAGTACTTAAATGTCTCAATTAGAAAGCACTTTGTTTTGTGTAGTTTCCCTGCATTTTTTGGATGGAGGGTTTGATACATTCCGTCAGTTACATTGTTCGTCCAATAAATAAGGTATACCCGTCGTGTTCATTGCAACAGCTGCAATTGTTTTAATAATATAATAGTGATAACTGAAACTCAGTAGGGTAATGATAGAGATTACAATATTTACAGAGTAAGCTGCTTAGCTGCTTGACTAGACTTCAATCATTCAAATTAGTGTTAGAGATATAGCACGAAGAATTCACAAAAATATAACAATAGAAACATGTAAATTGAATTTACCACATGACTTCAATACCTAGAAAGTGATTGGCTATCTTGATAAATATTACTATACACAATTAAAATTACAATTTATACGCATTTTTGCACGGTAATGGAGCAAAATGTTGAAAAATAACACATTCACAAAGTAATATATCGTCATAGTAATAATGTAGGTGCAATTCAATACATATGTCAAAAAATCACAGGACAGATTTACACGAAAGATCAGCAAGAATGAGCGAGTAGTTCTTGAAAGCTGTTTGCCTTTGAGACATGATAATTTAAAATTGTACACAATATTAGAAACTACGAAGATTCAGTAAAATATAAACGTTGATGTCATGAGTTTCATTCTTAAGAGCTGCATAACAATAAAATAAAATAGGAAACTTAATCATGCTGTGAATTTGAACAGCTGGTAGTAGAACAGGTTCCTCCAATCTTGCCAATTTCTTGTAAAAGGGGTTTGAAAATAAAGCACACACTAAAAACCAGATATAAAGCTTCAATCTAATACAACTTGCAGCTTAAAATGCATTACAACGTGTTTGCTGATTTCTCTACGCAAAGTTGTAATTTCGAAGACGATTTTTTGTCCGTTTCAAATTGTAAAAAATCAACATAATAAAAAATACTACTAATATTATTATTCATATGATATTATGTAATCATAAGTATAGCAGACGAAAGCAGGGAATAATAAAATGCTGTATCTTGTCCCAAAAACTAAGGCAATCGAAAAAGACAAGGAGCGTGTTAATGGGAGAGCGTTCGAAAAATTTTCGGGTTAACCTTAGACTATGAGGACAAACCAGTATCAATAAACTACCAGCAGTAGTCTGCAGAGGAATCCATCCTACGGGCGTAATCCCCAATTAACACCAACAACCTACAATAAGTGTTGCGTATAGTAGTATGAGCTGGGATTTAAAATACGGCAACATCCTGCTTGACAACATTGTAATATGAAAAACAAACTATCCACACGTACGGACGCCCATTTGTTAATAAACAACTGACGAACATAATATGAAAGTTTCACGTGAAATAAACAACAATTGTGAGAGCTATTTAGATTTGAACTTCGCTGGTAAACTAAAAATCACAAGTCGAGATAATGGGTAATTTGCATAACAATTTATTCAGAAAGGTTTTGCTGGCGCTCATAATGAAAATTGCTGTAAAATCCCAAATTTAAACCTAATATCGTTTTGTAAAAAGTTGTATACAGTACATAATATGGGGATCCCGTCATCATTTTCATTTCACCATGTTTCACAATGTAAGAACAAGTTTTTTTAAAAAACACTCGCAAGTGCCCACAAACCTGCATTTATAGCTTTAGAATACCATTTTGCAATGATGGGAATATAGTTTATTGGAAAAACGCCTGAATATTCATGCAGAATAATTTTAAATTACCATGGAAAATTGAATCATTTTTAAAGCAATATTTTACATTCAAATCGTAATATATGTGTTAACAATTTAACATCAGCTGTTAAATAAATGAGGAATGAAATTACCACGATGTAATATTTAAAACCTCAAATTATTGGTGTATCACATGCAATAAATTTAAACCAGCAAACAGATGTCACGGCACCATAAAGTTTCACAATCCGATAGTCATTATTGACTGCACCATTAACAAGTAATATTGGACGCCAGACATACAAGGTGAGTGCATTGATATATAACTATTAATTTTCGATTAATTTAAAATGTGCGTTTTTGTTCACAATCCCTGAAAACATATTCCTGTGCTCGAGATACACAACTGCTGAAACATCGTTATAATACGGCCACGGGCGCGGCATATCGGCACACGTAAATTATTTATTTTACTTACATTAGCATCATTTTCCCATTTTTATTTACTTTCACGTCTTGAAGTTAAAAATAATTAAGTAATACTTAAAATTAGAATATGGCATTGTAGATAGACGATGAGGGATACATATATTTGTAGCCTACTGATTTTATTACGTTATGTAAGGTCGCGCTTTCGGCGCAAATTTGGTGAACAGAGTCCCCCCCCATGCTAAATTGCGTGCCGCCGCCTCTGTTCTTGCAGATTGGTTTTTCGATTGTCAGGCATATTTTCCTTTTGACTTGTACATTTCGTTATGTGAAACGAAATATGACTGGCAATGCACGTATACAACTATTCAAAATAAGGCCAAAAAACAAGGCCAACACTAACATCCTCAGTGTTCAGTCCAATAAACCAATGTTTGAAATTTAAAAATTATATTTTAACATTATTTAACCATCATAATTGGCTTCAATTTTGACCTTTGTTTTTAATAGACCAAATTATATATTATAATTAAATCACCAGGCCGAATATATTAATGAAATGAACAACTTGTATATATTTTCTTATCATATAGTAGATGCTGTAAACAATAATACACTCATTGGTGTTTATGTAGATGATATCAAGTGAGCATAAATTCAATAAGTAGACTTCACATCATTTCTATGGTACAAGTATGCTTAATACAGTTTCAAGGTTACATACACGGGCTGCCAGACTTAAGTTTATTTTACCTCACCGCAAATTGCACCCACCTTTGATTTATTTGCTGAAACAAAATCGATCAGCGTATATATTTTAACAAGGACATACAATTTTTGACAAAATAGCTTAACATATTTCAGGGGGTTGTTTGCTTATTCATCACAAATAAATAACCGACGACCTCTTTAAGCCAAACATATTTAGTTCAGTTACAACAAATGTGTATGTACAAAAGTTCAACTTTTTGGGATTATGTAAAACATAATCATAATTTTGTTCTATTAGGGAGAAACGCTCCAGCAACATGGTAATCTCAACATGGTTCAAAAAGATAATATCTATCGTATTAATCACAGTTAGTATTTTCTTTATGGTTGAATATAACAAATCTGTGACAAGAAAATTGAATATAAGCAAGTTGGAAGGTATTATTTGTTTTAGGTATTTGACGTTCTATAATTTGATGTCTTTACAGTTTATACATACAAGTTATGCTATTGTGAAAGTAATTATTGTCTCGGAATATAATTCCAGAATCCACGGACAAGGAGTATCGCCATGTCAGTGTTGTACGCCAAGAGAAAAATAAACGCCCGAACAAATCACCTCTCGTGAGTACTGTTTAATATCGTTGTACTTCGCATGCGTTATATGTCGTGTTGGTAACCTTGTTTAATTATTAGTCCAATTGAAATGAAATTAATTTTGGTTTGTGGTACGCTGTTTTATCTGTTCTGCATCATTCTTTGCAGAATACATCAGACACAGAGAAAAATGATGTTTATAATTGCTGGAAAGCGAGTGCAAAACGAGTGAAACTAGCTGAGAACGCATGCCGAGATAATAATTTGACATATACTCAACCACGCATGGTTTACTTTGTCGTATCGGAAAAATACAAGTTCATGTTCAAATTGATGCCCAAAGTGTCATCCACAACGTGGAAAAACTTCTTACCGATTATAGATCCAGAGTGCTTTAAGAGTTCAAAAGAGATGGAATTGAACCTCACTATAACAGATGTGGAGAAATATACCAAAATAATCTTCTTTCGAGAACCACTGGAAAGACTGGTGTCATTTTACTATAATAACATACATTACACGGCAAACCAATCTAGCCAAAATAAGCAATACGATGATCTCATCAAGAAAATTGGACTACGCAGTCACAGCGTGATAGCACATAATCCAAAGGGCAAAGAAATATATAATATAACATTTATAGAATTTGTAAAGATGGTCATTCACCACCATTCCTATGGGGAATATATGCCACTCGGTGGGCATTTAGTGAAACAATATCAAAGATCATATGTATGTTCATTTAAGTACGATTTTATCGGTCATTTTGAACAACTAGGCGAGGATGCTGCGTGTGTTCTTGAGTTGATTGGCCTTGATAATATATATCGTTTCCCAGACATCCATGCACAGAAAGGCAATTTGAGATACAAAGAATCTCTGGGAAGTTTACCTAAATATGTTCTCGAAAGTCTTATTGAAGTGTATCGGTTAGATTATGAAATTTTTGGGTACAGAATTCCTACATTTGAAGAGTTTAAGTTCAAGCAGGGATTGTAATACGTTAAGCTATTGTTTTGCATTTTGATAAACTGATACATTAAATTTAATGTTTGTTCCTACATTATAAAAGTAGGTTGTACAGTATCAGTTTCATGCATTTGTATCTGACCCTAATTATTGGAATTGGTAACAGAGGATGGTATGTAGGCATATTAGTATTGCAAATTTGTGACATTAGTTTGTGAAGCTTTATTTTGCATTTTGTGTTGTTTCATTTTCATTCTGGCTTTGTTGTAAATCTATGTTTTACTTATATAGTTTCCATGCATTTAAAGTGCTTGAATCTTGTGACACAAATGTCGCCTTTTCTCTCATATCAATTGTTTTGTCGTAACTTTAAGTTTACGACAATCTAAATTTACTTGAGTCAAACAATAAAATGATTTTGGAACGAGTACAGGATTTTGTGGGACACAAACAAAACAGCATACAAAGAAAAGATGACACACAATTGCATGATCTATGATTCTATATTCTGCAACAATGACAGACTGTAATTACCAACTACCAGGACTACTAATATTTGGCATAAAATTGTTTGGCGACCATATATTGTATACATTGTTATAAACATATGACCATTTTATTATAAAACATCTGTATTTTATATTAAAAGATTAGTGTTTAGACATTTTTGGAAAAGTGTACAAATATACACCTTTCACAATAAAACAATAATGCTTTACAGAGACATAAACGTGTTTAATTAATAGGACATGTATGGAATAATGCAACCAATGTTATGCAAGTAGTACTAATATTGAATGGAAAGAAATTTAACTATAGTCTTGGATGGATTCAAACTGGCGACTTACTGTAAAATTTTAGCTGGAATTAATTTTCGCTGAAAAAAAATTGGGGTGTTATGTATGGAATTTAATTTCACTGATTTATTATTAGTTGTATGTAAAATTTAGGAAAAAGTTATATTTGCTGGATTTTATTTTCACTGAATCATTCTTTCAGCGAAAATATCGGAAATTAATTCCCAACGAAAATATAGTATCTTACAACATATGCCATTGAACGACCACCTAAGGTAACGTAATTCATTGCATAATGACACTATCTTTAGGAAATAATTGTATGTGTTATGATGTCATTACTTTATCAAATTCAATTACCTCAACATATCAGTATCAATCCCAAACATAATATTTGTATGTAGAAAAACAGTAGTTTTTCTAGAAAAATGATTTTAGGAATTACTAAAACACTTTTAGATGAAAATTAAGTACAATGTAAACACAGACAAAAATACATTTTTAACAACTGAAAAACAAGTACATTGCGGGGACATAAATGTGTCATTAACGTGATTATTGATATGACATTTATGAACTAATGCATCGACTTTTATGCAAGCAGTATTAACAAAATTGGGTAAGTAAACATTGTGGTATGTAAGCCAACTAGACAATCACCGACCGTGGCGTAATTCAATGCATAATGAGATGGTCATGATATCACCTTCAGAAAATAGTTTTATGTCAAACACCAGGTTGTGGAACAATTAATTTCATTTGTGATTATATGCTTATATGGCCTTACCAACCTATAGTACAAATGAAAATCGATACACGTGATGAATTAAGTACCTCATGGCCTGATGTATTTGGTTACTCCACATTTGATGAACGATGGTTGTAATTCCAGTCACATCTGAGAATTCTCAAATGCGGTTTAAATATTTTTCACGAAAACTGAAATCAAAATCGCCAACGATGTTTCAACCCAAAACACCATACTATAAATGTTTTGTTAATGTATACATTTGTGTTTATGAGAGTAACTAAAACACTTCCAAACTATTTTATTTTGAAATACTTCAGAAAACAAACACACATGAAAAGTTTCAACTTAAAACTATATACAGAACACTTGTGCATGCTGTCTACGGTATGCATCTGTAATAGAAACAAGGTGTATTATCCACTGTTTGCAAAATACTCACACACGTCATTGTCACAAGACATACTGTGCATGTAGCGATAAATTTATTGATTTAAATTTGTTTAATAATAAACAGCATGTACCTGTCACAAGTTGATTAACAGATGGTAACATGCACGATGTTGCTACCATTGCTCTGTTATATGTGATATAGTCGTTAGATTCATTTCTTCTTACTATTATTCTATTAGCGGAGCCTCAATGTTGAATTCCATCCAATATGGTGATAACCACACACCTGGAAAATCATGCGCATAATTTAAACGAGCTCCTTTAAGTATATGATAATGCATAACCAATCAACTGTTATTTAATAATACAATAAATACAATATAAAAACAAATAGTGAATAATACTTTAGTTTGCTACTTATTTGCAAACATTTTGAAATACGTTTAGTAAACGACGGTGTTTATGATGAACACTGTTATATGTTGCGTGTTCAAGTAATTGGTAAATTGTGCAGTGCGCACATTCATTCAACTATTAAATTATACTATCGGGATACTATTGCTAATAATGGAATTAATTTTGTCCTGTTAATATGGTCTATTGTTAGTTCAGTGTCCTCGTCCTTCATGCTAGAAGAACTAATTAGGTAAATATTATTTTAATATAATACCACACTTCCCGTTTTGAAAGGGGTAAAAATTGGTAATCAAACTAGTTGACGGATAAACACGGGACAAATGAATGAAATAGAATTCGAGGATTGAGTGGGATTGGGATTGCAATTGAGTACATTTATTTCGAGAGAGCATATTTGTCTAAAATTAATGATTTATTTTTGTGTTCCACTATTGCTTATTCCCAACAATTTTATGTGCATTCAAAACAATAACAAAACAATACCAATTGGGAAGAGATTAGGCACTTTAATTTATGTCAATGAAGAAAGTGTTTAAAGACGTTTTTGTTTGTTTCAGTTCATCATTCCCCTTTATTGAAGTGTCAATGAACACAATTATTGGTTGTTGTATCTACAGGTTTTAATTTCAGTAAACACATATATTCAACTTCACATAAATCGGGGACACGCGATTGACATTATTTTGTACAACAACTATATATGCCTGTTTTTTAAATGTATTCTCAAACTTACTTTATTAATGTTTATATTGAGGATATTGGTTGTGTTATTTGTTTATCGTGTATAGTGATTACTGTGCAATAGTGCTTCATCATGAAACGCATTATTTAATATATTTTCTCATTGACACTTTTTAAAATGGTAATATTTGTTTACCATGTTATCAGTGGAAATGCATTTTAAAAATTGTCTCCGCTACAAGCACTTTTGTTTTGCGCGAAAGCACTTTTCAAAGTGT